TCCTCTCAAGTTCTTACCCATCTAGTTCTTCCATTCTCTTTTTCTCTTCTCCATGCTGTTCTCTCCCTGTCCACTGAAAATACCTGCCTTTTCTTTCCTTGGGTTTGTGGTTCTCTGCCTCCTCAGAATGTTTTATCTCTCACCTTGATATGTAAAAACCTCTTTTGTTCTCAAAGTGCTCTGGAGAACCACTAGGCCTCCTCAAGACCAGAGGATGGTCAGAGCTTCATTAGCACAGGTAACAAAGCTAGGCATCTCCTGCCAGCTTGTCTCCTAAGCTCAGCAGGGCAGTTAGTAACTTAGTAGGTTCAGCAGGTCAGGGGAGCTGAACTGTTTACCAATTGGTCTGGGCACACAAGGATTTCATTGCAGAAGACAGCTGGAATATTAAAGGCTGGGTAACACCAAATATTCATAGTAAATGGCTTGCCTTTTGACAGGCCCTTGGCCGGTCAAAGTTCAGCTTTAATACACAGCTGAATCTCTATGATATATTCTTGCGGCCCGCAAGAATACCACTTAATAAATATTTAAGGATAATAATATATTGAACTTAAAATTTGTATGTTTTTCCTTTCAAAGGCTTATTTAATTAAGCTCTCTGGCTTGAACAAGAAGATGTATCAGAGCTGTCTTAAATCTTTTGAGTGTTTACTGGGATTAAATTCAAATATTGGAATAAGAGACCTAGCTGTACAGTTCAGCTGTACAGAAGCAGTGACCATGGCTTCAAAGATACTGCAAAGGTATGTATAATTTTTAAAGATTTATTTATTTTATGTGTATAAATGTTTGCCTGCATGTATATCTGCACCACATACATGCCTGGTGCCCTCAGGTCAGAAGAGAGCATCAGGTCCCTTGAACTGGAGTTCTGGATGGTTGTGAGCCACCGTGTGAACGCTGAGAACTGAACCCAGGTGCTCTGCAAGAGCAACAAGTGCTCTTAGCCACTGAACTGTTTCTCTAGCTCCTAAATAAATATTTTTTAAAAATCCTGAGTCAGTTGTTATAGCACAGTCAAAAAACAAATGCTAGCAATAGCTCAGGATAATGCAAGTTGGGAGCCAGATGAGACTACAAGTAAGTTTTATTTTGTTTTCTAAATTGTTTCATTGCATTTTCAGCCCCTTTGAAATAATACTTTTTTTCATTTTTTATTTATTTATTTATTTATTATCAGCTTGATACAGTATAAATTCTTCTCCTAATAGTGAGATGTTTCATTGAGGCTTGCCCAGTGATTGAGTAAAACCAAAACGTACACTTCATGACAAATAACTCCGCAAACGTTGCTGTCTCCTAGCTACGAGTCTAGTCTTACCGAAGCACAGCGAGCAGACCTGGACTTGTCCAGGCCGCTTTTCACCACTGCTGCACTGCTTTCAGCCTGCAAGTAAGCGTTGCTTTGTTCTGTTTTCCAGGGGCAGAGGGTAGGGGGTATTGTGGGTTTTTAAGACAGAATTTTGCTGTGTAGTCTATGCTGGCCTGAAAGTCACTGTGTATTAGACTCACGGTAATCCTTCTGCCTCAGACTCCCAAATTCTGAGATTTCAAGTGTGTGTGCACCCCAACGCCTGGATCTAGTCTAGTGTTCTTTTACCATTGGAAAATTTTGCCCATATGTGAATTTTTCATTCCTAAAGAATACTTCTGAGCCGGGCGGTGGTGGCACACGCCTTTAATTCCAGCACTCGGGAGGCAGAGGCAGGTGGATCTCTCAAGGCCAGCCTGGGCTTCAGAGTGAGATCCAGGAAAAGTGCAAAGCTACACAGAGAAACCCTATCTCAAAAAACCAAAAAAAAAAAAAAACTTCTGATTTCACTGACTTCAGCTCAGCACATTTTCTACTCCAAACCTGTAACAACATGGTTTGTGGCCTGGTAATCAGATTCTTGGATTACCTAATAATATAGCTGCCAGCTTAAAACTAGTGTTTCAAGAAGTTTACTTGCCAAGTGGCAACCATGTATATAAGCAAGGTATTGTCGTTTCAGACCCTGCTTTTTGTAAGTGATAAAATCTGCCAAGACAGTGGTCATGTTTGATTTTCCAGGCATGTTGTTTAAAAAGTACTGCCTGCAACTGTTCATTTGAGTATAAAACATTTCTGAAATAAATTCTTGTGTTTGAATCATCAAAATATTTAGTTGTCAGTATGCATACTGAATTATTACCATGAAATACTAATAATTTCTTAGATCTTTGAAGTTGTATTTCACCTTTTGAGAGAACTTTCTACAGAAAAATTATGTAATAGTCTGTTAAAGAATGTATTTCTCACTATCTAGTCTTTTTTTTTTTTTTTTTGGTGTATTTGGCTTGATTAGCAACATAACTAGGAGTGATTGCCATTCATGGATAATATCCTTTTAATTCAACAAGGGTATATGGGTGTACAAGGATGGAATGTAGTAGATAATACAAGAACTAAAAATAGTCAAATAACTCTGTTCTTGGAATTATATTAAATTGAGCAAGAAATGGTCAGTTGTCTTGGGGGAAGGTGTGTGTGTGGTGTGTATGCACGTGTGTGCAACAAATTTGCTGCCTGTGGAGGCCAAAAGAAGACATTAGAGTTACAGGTGGTTGTGAGCTACAATGTGGGTGTTGGAATTGAACCCAGGCCCTCTTAAAGAGTAGCTAGTGCTCTTAACCACTGAGCCATCTCTTCAGCCTCAGTTGGTTTGTTTAATTTTTAATTGATTGCTCTAGAGGAATATGAGCAGAGTTTTGGGCTTCGGGAGTGGGGCAAAGAGATGACTCTTCTTTATAAGTAGAATCATTCTCAAAGCAAGTTCTGCAAACTGGTAATGTCTAAGAGGTATGACGCTCTACAACAGATGGCTTTAGTTGCTCCATTTATTGCAGAACATGCATTTTAGCTCCCAGTTCAATAAGAGCAAATTATAAGCTAGCTAATGGCGTTGAGAATAAAGGAAAATCTAGACAGCTGGAGAATCTTAGTAAAGTGTGGGCAAAAAGTAAGAAGTTTATAATCTGGTTGACTTGCTAAGAAACTTGGTGATATTGAAAAAAGCAAATTTATGAAATTGTTTTTTAGAATTCTGAAGCTAAAAGTGGATAAAACCAAAATGATAACTACATCTGGTGTGAAAAAAGCAATATTTGATCGGCTATGTAAGCAGTTAGAGAAGATTGGGCAGCAGATTAACAGTAAGTATTCTGTAGTTGAAAATGCTGATTTATGAATTCTTTAATGAGAAAATTGACAGGCCAGGTCTACAAACAGTGTTTTAGTACCTTAGAAAATACAAATCCATGCCTAGAAAATATATTCTTTAAGAAACATCAGTGTCAGCCAAGCAGTTATCCTAGCACTCAGGATGCAGAAGCAGACAGAACTCTTTGTTTGAGGCCAGCCTGGTCTGCAGATTGAGTTCCAGGTCAGCCAGCACTACATAATGAAACCCTGTCTCAAAACAAAGAGACTCCAATGTTAAATGCCAGCTTCTGTGTACATAAGCTAGGGTGGAAGTGATTCTCATGTCTAACAAGAGAAACACCCAGAAAAGAGAGCAGCAAGATTATCTGCCTTTCCTTCATCTCGTTTTGCTCCCCTGGGTTTGAATTTCTGTGATCTACCTAAGGACCTATATGACTAAATAATAAAATTGAATTAAAAAAAATTAACCTTGAAACCACTTTTTCCTTTTCTAAAAGGAGACTCTGGAGATTTATCTAGTCCAGCACTGAAGAAAAAGAAGTCTGTGGTTGAAACACCAGCAAAAGGTAGGTAGGGCATCCTAGCTGTCCTGGTGCTGAAATTGGTGCGGTATGATTTATGCAGTGAGCAATACTGTTGCACTCCCAACAGTTTGCATGACAAGAGCCAGCACTAGAGAAAAGTCTGACCACTAACTCTGGATAAGACCTATTTTTCAAGCCAGGTGTGGTTGTACACACCTGTAATCCTAGCACTCAAAGGATTGACACAAGGGGGTTGCTGTAAATTCAAGGCCAGCTTGTCTATATAGTGAATTCCAGCATGGACTACACATTGATATCATCTCAGAACAACAACAAAAACAGCCTTTTAAGCAATAATTAAATGGAAGTAACAGAAGTGTAAGTAAAAATATATCTAAAGTGGCCAAAAATAAAAATATTCCTAATTTTTGAAAGTATGTGCAGTACAAGCATGGTGATGCACGTCTTTAATCCCAGCACTCAGTTCTTCCTTTAATACCAGCACTCAAGAGTTCAAGGCCAGCCTGGTCTACAAAGCAAGATCTAGACAGTGAGACCTTGTCAAAGCAGTGTGTGTGAGTGTGGGTAGCTGAGCTGCCAGGATTCATATCCTGCTTTGTCACAATTAACATCCTTAGGCAAACCAAATAGAATTCAAACAGAGACCCAAACATAAATTGGGCAAACTCAGAACTGGTTCAGAGAACTCAACTCCACCTAGTATTTGAACAGCAAGTCCTAATAGATTGAACCTAGAAGAATAGAAAAGATCCGATCGAGTCAAACTACTCGTTTGCTTTAAGTATGATCTAGTGTGAGGTCCCTGTTTGGATAACCAGAAAAGTAACTTGTGATTGACTACTTTTTTTTCCCTAAAAATATATTTTCAAATTCATTTCTAGTTACTTACATAGGAACTCTAACTATGAAGACAATCTGATGCTAACAGCTTCAGTTTTCTAATATGTGGGACCTGATTAATGTTAGCACCTACTTCGTAATGTTTGTGATGGGATTATTCGAGATACAAACTGTTGTTCAGTGTCTTAGAACGCTTAGCATGTAAGAAAGAAAAGCAAAATTTGTCATGTTACATTTCATTTAGTCTTATTCTTTTACCTTAATTGAAGTAAATACTTTTAATTTTTACTTCTATGCCATTTACAATTTGTAAACGTAAGTTTGAAATTACTTTTGATAACTTTCCTTTATAGAAATAGAAGAAGTAATAGAAACCCCACATAAAGCACTGAAAGATGAAGGTCTGACACAGGATTATGAAGAATGGAAAAGGAAGATTTTGGAAAATGCTGCCAAAGCTCAAACAGCTACCGCAGAGTCTAGAAGATGAAGGGCCTGAGGATTCATCTAAACTTGTATACCAGGCGTACTGAGGATTGTCTCAATATGAAAGACACTAGCACTAGGCACCTCATGTGGAAATAGATCAACCATAGTACCTCCGTAGACTCTGGATGGAATTGGGACCATTTTGCTTCTCTGTGTTAAGCTTAAGAAAGTCTCCTGACTTAACCTAGAACACACAAAAGATGTCTCAGACATTTTACTTGTTTTTTGTGTTTTTATTTTATTTCACTAAATCAGTGTTATAGAGCCTAAGTTAATAAATGTTTATTTTTTTTAAATTTATTTGTTTTATGTTTATGAGCATTTTGCCTGCATGTATGTTTGTGTACCACATGTGTGTCTGGTGCCAGTGGAGGCCAGAAAAGGGTGCTGGGTCCACTTAGACTAGAGTTACACACAGTCTAAGCTGTCAGTTGGTGCTGCGACTCAACCCCTGGTGCTCTTAACCACTGAACCATCTCTCCAACCCAATAAATGTTATTTTTATATGCATTTGAGTTGCAGTTCTCAGCATTGAGTAGTCTTTATTAGGCCAAAATCTTTATCTACTCAAATGAAGAAAAAGCCCATGTGTACTAAGCCCTATGACTCCCTAGAACCTAGACTCAGACTTCCTGGGTTTAAAACCCACTCTACTTTGCCACTTGAACAAATACAATTAACTTCTGTTGCTCCATCTATAAAGTGGAAATGAAAAGGTACTGCTTTGGCTGTGAATGTGGCTCAGTTGCTGGAATGACTGTCATGCTCCAAGGCCTGAGTTTGGTTACCAGTGCCACACAAAACCAGGCATAGTGCACCCTAGTAATCCCAGCACTTGGGAAGAGAAGGCAGAATCAGAAGTTCACAGTCATCCTCAACTACATAATGGGTTTAAAGCCAGTGTAGGATACATGAAAACCTGTCTCACTGCTGCCTAGAATAGCTGGGAGGCATATCAGACCCCAGTGCATTTTCATGCAAACAATATCAGCTGTGAAAAAATAAATTTAAACTTCACAGAGGCCTGACATAATTACATATTAGCACCATGTTATGCATTTAGACAGTGCACCAAAGTTTATTTCTTTGATATCCATACACTAAAAAAAAAAAGTAACCCTTTAACACTATGAAAGAAGCTATGTAAATTTATTCTTTTTATTGAAAATAACTTTTTTCATACAATATATTCTGATCACAAGTTTCCCTTTCTTCATCTCCCAGATCTTCCCCATCTTCCCACACATCCAGCTCCAAACCTTCCTTTTCTCTACAGAAAACAAAAATAAAAACAGAAAAAGCACAAGAAATGAAGACACACAAAGCCCATAAAAACACAAAGTCAGAAACCGGAATATACAAGCAAAATACCTATAAGATAAAATGTCCAAACAAAGCAATATGAAACAAAAGGAGATGTATAAAAATAACATGGTGTTAGATTTGTGTTGGCCATCTGCTGGGCATGGGGTCCATCTTTATGTATGGATAGTGAGACTCCATTGGAGAAAAGTAATTTTTCCTTTGCAGCTGTCAAATTGAAATAGTTTTTTTGTTGTTATGCCCACCTTGCCCTCTCAACACTAGGACCCCATCTAGCTTAACCCTGCAGGCTGTGCATGCTGCCATAGTCTCTGAGTTCACATTACATCAGTCCTGTTGTGTCTGTAAGACACCATTCCTTGGTGTCATCCATCTCTGGCACTTAAAATCTCTGCCTCCTTTTCCTCAGAGCTCCCTGAGCCCTGAGGGAAGGGTTGAATGAAGACAGCCCATTTAGGACAGTGTTCCAAGGTCTCTGCACATTGTCTAGTTGTGGGTCTCTATTAATTCCCGTATACTGCAGGAGGAAGCTTCTCTGATGATGGCTGAATGGGATACTGATCTATGAGTGTAGCAGAATATCTTTAGCAGTCATTTTATTGCTCTGTTCCTTTAGCAGAGCATTAGTATTTGGTTTTCCCCTAGGCCCGTGGTCTATCTGGTCTCAGATTCTTGGCCACCTGGACAGTGTGAGGCATGGGTTCTATGTCATAGAGTGGGCCTTAAGTTCAATCAGACAGTGGTTGGTTACTCCACAACATTTGTGCCACTATTGCACCAGTGTATCATGCAGACAGGTCACCACTGTGGAATGAGGGGTGTAGCTGGGTTGGTATTCACTGTGGTGGTATTGTGTTCCCCAAAATATTGTGCACCCTAATAAACTTAACTGGGGTCAGAGAACAGAACAGCCATTAGATATAGAGGCCAGAAAATGGTGGCACACACACCTTTAATCCTAGCATTCCAGGGGCAGAGATCCATCTGGATCTCTGTGAGTTTAAAGCCACACTGGAAACAGACAGGCATGGTGACTCACACCTTTAATCCCAGGAAGTGATGTCAGAAAGCAGAAAGGTATTTAAAGCGTGAGGACCAGGAACTTAGAGCCTGATTAAGCTTTTAGGCTTTTGAATAGTGGTTCAGCTGAGACCCGTTCCGATGAGAACTCAGAGGCTTCCAGTCTGAGGAAACAGGATCAGCTGAGGAACTGGCAAGGTAAGGTTAGCTGTGGCTTGTGTTCTGCTTCTCTGATCTTCCAGCATTCACCCCAGTACCTGGCTTCAGGTTTGATTTTTATTAATAAGAACTTTTAAGATTCATGCTACATCTGTGTGTTCAAGGATGCAGCCAGCATGGAGACACATGCCTTTAATCTCAATACCAACCATAGAGACCTAGATGTCTGTATAGACAGGCAGTGACGAGGAGGTCATGTGGTTGGGTTTACAACCAATAAGAAGACAGAACAGAAAGTCAAAAAAAAAAAAAAACAGACACACAGGAAGTAGGCCTCTTTCTGAGGGGAAGGACGGCAGCGGCAGGAAGGGTAAGAAGGTGGTTTTTAGTCTCAGCTCTTAGCTACTGCTCTGACATCTTGGGCTTTTAACTCTGATTAAAAAAAAAAAAAAAAAAGATTCTGCAGGGAACCATGACCACGCCTAACGCCTAACAGCAACTTTGAAATTTTCAAAAAGATGACAGGATCCCACAATGACAAATCCACATGGACTATATGGTAAAGCCATTAAGCTGATTAACACCATGGAAAGATCGACTTTGGACTACAAACTATTCAGGACAATTTCAAGATGGCTAGCTGAAATGATCCAGATTCATAGACTACTGAACAAGGACTTGAGACAAGTCCTGCATTTTCTCATGCAGATACTGGACAAATGATACAACTCTCTAAGGACTTGACAATTAACCCAAAAATTTTCTTTTCAGGATTCCCTAAAGATGTCTTCACCCCCAGAAAGCAGGAAGTAATTTTAAGAAAACGACGCCCACATTCCCAAGAGGTGGGATGGGAGGTTTTTGGTTGTTTAATGAGTTATGGATATTGTCATTGTTTATGATGGTTGGTTACAAGTTGTTAATTGTTAATGGTCAGGAAAAAAAGCTGAATAAGGAGATTAGATTCAGAGTTTTTGCTTAAAAAGAAAAAGAAAAAAGAGAATATAGATGTGAGGTATATCATTGAATCTACTCGGAGAAAAAAGATAAAGAAATAATAGGATAAATGGGTAGATCATTGAATCTACTCTAAAAAGAAAAGGGGAAGATATAAAAATGACAAAAGGTGGGTTATTGAATCTATTATGAAAAGAAAAGAGAATAGGGATATGATAAGATAAAAAGTTCAATTTTTAAATCTATTTCTAAAAAGGAACCACTTGTTTTAAATAGGATAAGTAATGAAATTTTTTGTCTGAGTTTATCAAATGTTACTAGACTGGACATTGTTAATATATATAATGGAATTTTTTGTCTGAATCTGTCAAATGTTAATGGACTAGACATCATTAATGTAATTCTTGACTGTATATATTGTATATATTTATTGGATATAGTTTTTCTTGTATTCATTATAAGCTTTTTTAATTTTAGACAAACATATTTGCCTGTTTCAGTCTGGCTACCTCACTAGGTGTGATTTTTTTTTTCCCCTTAGTCCATCCATTTACCTGTGAATTTCACAATTTTAGTTATTGGGTTTTAATAGCTGAATAATATTCCATTGTGCAAATGTATCATGTTTTTATCATCTGTTGATGGACATGTAGGCTGTTTCTAATTTCTGGCTATTATGAACAGAGCAGCAATGAATATGGATGAACAAGTGTCTCTGTAATGGAAGGTAGAGTCCTTTGCATATATACCAAGAGTGGTATAGCTGAATCTTCTTTGGTTTTTCAAGACAGGGTTTCTCTGTGTAGCTTTGCGCCTTTCCTGGAACTCACTCTGTAGTCCAGGCTGGCCTCAAACTCACAGAGATCCACCTGCCTCTGACTCCCGAGTGCTGAGATTAAAGGCGTGCGCCACCACTGCCCAGCTTATAACTGAATCTTAGGCTAGATCTAGTCCCAGCTTCCTGAGAAACTGCCACACTGATTTCCATAGTGAGTGTACAAGTTTGAGCTCCCTCCAGCAATGAATGAGTGTTCCTCTTACCACACATCTTTACCAGCATGAGCTGTTATTTGTTTTTTTGATCTTAGCCATTCTGACTGGTGTAAGGTAAAATCTCAAAGTAGTTTTGATTTGCATTTCCCTATAACTAAGGATGTTGAACATTTCTTTCAGTGTTTCTCAGCCATTTGTTTTTCATCTTTTGAGGAACTTTCTGTTTAATATCCCTTTTTAAATTGGGTTATTTTTTTCTTGATGCCCAATTTTTTTAGTTCTTTATATATTTTAGATATTAACTCTGGTGGTTTGAAAGAAAATGGCCCCCAAAGGGAATGACAACAAGGTATGGCCTTGTTGGAGAAAGTATGTTACTGTGGGAGTGGGCTTTGAGGTCTTCTATGTTCAAGCTTTGCCCAGTGAGACAAAAGGTTACTTACTGTTGCCTTCAGATCAAGCTGTAGAACTCATAGCTTCTTCTCCAGCACCCTGTCTGCCTACACACTGCCATGCTCCGTGCAATGATAATGAACTAAACCTCTGAAACTGTAAGCAGCCACTGCAATTAAATGTTTTCCTTTATAAGAGTTGTGCTCATGGTGTCTCTTCCCTGCAATAGAAACCAAATGAGTTAATATCATCATCAGAAAAGCTTCCTCTTGCAGTAGATGG